CCAAAGGATGGTGACACTGGAGAAGTTGCTTGGGCCATGCACTTTTTGTTCTATCAGAGATTTGTGTGGTTCAAGTGTGTTTCCTTCTGTGAGTGTTTGTGTGTGTGTGTGTGTTGTGAGGGCTGTTGCATGCCTGGTGAGCACAGAGAGAACTTTTTGTGTTTGACACTGTGCATTTGTGTATAGTTTTGTGGACTGGCAGCAAACAAGTGTGAGGAGTGAGTGGCTGTCCATGGGGTGTATGGTGCCCATTCCTTCAAATGGCAATGGCTGGGTGATAGACCATGGTTTGTGGCAGTGCCTTGTCATGAGACTTAAGCAACAGGCATTACTTGCTTGTGCCAGTGGCTTCCCTACACAAATACTACCACCCCTGCTGGGCAGGCACAATAAACATTGCTGGCTGGGTGTACCAGGGCCAATGCTGTGACTGTGGCCTGGCATCAGAACATGGGGTGTGGGCTTGGAGTGAAGAACCACTTAGTCACTTGTGATGGCACAACAGTGGCAGAGAACAACAGCCCTCAGACTCTGTCAGAGACAACTGGTTAGGTGAGTAAGTAACATTTGTATGGATGTATGGCAGCCTTTTGGTAACAAAAGCCTTTTTTTTTTGCAGGGTCTCTCTGTGGCAGCCTGCTTCAGGTGGCCACCCATCACCAGTGCCTTGTGAAGGGTGTGGAGTGGGAAGTGCACCAACAGCTGGTGCTTGGATACTACACTATCTATGATGTGGGGTAGGTGAGCTTGGGAAGGCCAACCATGGCACTGTGAGGTCCTGGAGAGATTGCAACTGTAAGATAGTATATATATATATATACTTTAAGATAGTCTAGAGAAGCTCAAATATAACCAGGTTCTGAATATAACTAGGTTCTGGAAGAGCAAACACCAGCAACTGAGGGCTGTGCCACCAGGCCATTCCCAAGTTTCTTGCAATAGTGACTTAGTGGAGGCGCAATGAACTGTGCTTGGCTGCAGTTCAAACAGCTAGAGATCAGCTGTATGTGCACCCACTGCCTGTGCATGCTCAGCAGGTATGTTCTTTGAGCTGCTATGAGTGAGTCATTATGTTGGAGCATCTAGCTAGCTAATTTGTGAAGTTGAGGGCCCTTGTGACAGCCTGTTTCTTGAAGATCAAGACCTGGGCTGGTTGGATCACCTTCCCTGAAGCATAGATTGGTTGCTTGGCAGGCCAGGGGTGTGGGGTGAGTGCCTATAATGACCTCAATTATGCCCAGTGTTGAAAGTTTGGTTGCCCATGATGAGTGGTGGTTGGGACATGTTCCAGCCAAATGCTAGCAAACCAATGGTATAATATGTGGAATTCACCAACAAGAAGGTAAAGGGTAATTATTTAATGGTATATGCATACCTGGAGAAGGAATGTGACTGGATGGTGGCTAGTCATTAAAGAAACCATATGTTGCTAAAATAAGTAAAACTGAGGGGGTGGGGGAGAAACCAAAACCAGGAAACACCAAAAACATAGCAAGGGTACATGCCATGAACAAAAAATCAAAATAAAAAAATGGGCAGAGTTTAGTTTACTTGAGATTTATTTTATACAAAATTTGGCAATCACCAAAACCAGGAAAAACCTAGAATAGCAAGGAAAAAGTTAGAAAACACAAGGAAAAAAGTTAGAAAAGAGCAGGAACAATCCAGAAAAGCAGGGAACAAAATAGAAACAGTAGGAACACCATAGATCTAGGCAAAACTAAGCAAATCAACCATAAATCCTGGAGGACCATGAACCTAAGGGGCAAGCTAAAGCACCTGGAATCTACCTGGAAAGCACCTGGACCTGCCTGCTGGGCACTCAGGCTACCAGGATGGCTCATGGTGGTGGTGGCTCTGGACACAAATGGGAGAGGTGGTTTGCCAGCATTGTGGTGCAACATGCATTGGGGGGATGTGGAATGAGGGTGGGGACCAGGTTTGTGGAACATTGTTGGTGTGACTGAGGTCCAATGATTGGTCTGATTGGTCTGATGATTGGAATTCTTATGATTGGTGCAACAACCCATGGAACCACAGGTCATGGAACCAGGGCCAACAAAGGCAGCCTGCCAGGGCCCAAGCTTCTTGGTCAGGACACCAGGTGCAGGGGCAGGCTGCAGCTTCTGCTTCTGCAACCACAGCAAATGCTGGGCAGACTCAGAAGGAACTCCTCATGCAACATGAGATGTTTATGAAGCCTAGGGTGGCAGGCCTGACAAATTTAGAGAGGAGAACCTTGGAGTTGTGGATGTCCAGCCAAAAGGATGCCTACAATGAGCTCAAGAACAAGATTCAGACTGAGGGTGGACAGGTGGAGAAGCTGGAGCATGACAAGGAGAAGCATGATAAGTTCATCAAGAGAATGGCAAAGATCATAAGCAGGTTTGGATATGGACATGGGACACTGTCAGCAACACAGAACCTGCTGTCTCATTTTGCAGGTGCAAAACACTGGCCCATGGGCCAGATGGTTCCCCCTGACTCAGTGGAATGGGTGCTGTGCAAGCACTTCTTCCTCACAGCACGCTGTCCAGAGAGACCAGATCCCAGCCAAGTGGTGGACTACATTGAATGCCATTGTCTTCCTAAGACAGCCTTTTTCTTGAGTGGCTGCATGCACAACAAGCTAAACTTGTTTTCCCCCCAAGTTGGCCAGATGTACCAACACTCCCTTTGCCCAGCATGCTCAACATGTGTGAGGTGTGACAAGTACCTGGGATGAATTTGCAGTGCTATGCATAAAACACTTACAAACCAGTGCAAACTGTTGAAATGCATTTGCTTTTGTTGTTGAAAGCAGTGTAGGGTGGTGGCTTGTGCCCTTTAAGTCTTTGCTCAGGCCCTGCAAAGTGGCCATTGCCAGGGGCATCCCAGGGCTGTTCCAGTCAGCCATGAGGGGTTTGGAGGCTTGCAGCTGTGAGCCAGAAGGTTTGGTGGGTCGCTTCACCCACACTTTTTTGCCTGGGCCTGTGGAAATGGTGCAGGCAGGGCCAAACCATGCATGTTTTTTTTCAAGACCTTGATCACTACTATGTTTAGTGAACCAACCACACCAAGTCTTAAACTTCCCATCCCTTTGACACTGTCACTTGGGCTTGAGGATGGCCAAGTGGTGGGTGTGAACTTTGCTGGGGGCATCTTCAATGCTGGTGGTGCTGGGCCCTTGCACCCACCAGCCCCAGCCCCTGCCAATGGGGGTGATGCTGATATGGAGGACCAGGATGACTGGGAGAAGTTGGATGACTCACCTGAATGAACTACCAGGTGACCCAGAAATAATTTGTGTTTTGTTAGCTTCACTTTTCACCACATACACTCCAACCCATGAGTGTGCTAAGCCTAGTGGCCAACATGCCTTCTTGGTGAGCCCAGGTGTGGACTTATTTGATTTTGATGCAGCTAGGGGTTTGACAAGCAACTGGTGGCAGTTGCTTGGCTTTTACTCTTGGACAATGTCAAGTGCAGCAGCCAGCTGTTGCATTGAATTTCAATGTTGGTGCATCTAGTTGCTGTGAACCATGCTAGTGCTCAGTGTGCAGTTCACCTTTTGGGTTTGCACTTTACTGAGGAAGCTTGTGATGTGCAACAGAAACTTGTCATGGCTTCAGCACAGGCCAGAGTAGGGACCTCTAGAACAAAAGAAGACCATCTAGGCTACTGGGACCAATCCACTACTCTTCAATCACAACTTTCCAATCCCAAACTGTAGATACAGTGTTACAGTGTTGCAGGGCTGACACGCTGCTTTGTGTGACCTTTAGTCACTGTGGATTGTGGGGTGGTGTGCTGCTGCCATGGTAGAGGAGCTGGTTGGTGCCTTGGAGGGTGACCAGCCTAAGGCTGCAAAGGCCAAGCCCCTTGCCTTGCCTTTCAAGGTGGCCACAGTGTGGGAATTGGAGCAAAGATGCTACATCAGGGAAGGTGACAATGAGAATGGCAAGCCTGAGTGGCTTTTTGCAAGGGTCCATCAGTACTGTGGGATTGGAAAGGACCCAGGAAAACTCCTCAGAGACAACAAGCCATCGATTGAAGCTGGTTTCAGGAAAGTGGATATGCCTGTTGAGCAGCTTCACTACAGAGGAAAACCAGATGATGAAGAGGCTCAGGAGCCTTGGAAAGACCACACTGTTGAATCCAGAGGTTTCTTCACTATCCTACTTTGGGTAGTGAAGAACAGGTCATTGAAAGCCACATGTAAGATGAAAGGCCTGAGGTTGATCCTGGAGATGGTGGCAAAGGCCTTTGAAATTCTGGACACCAGCCAAACCTTCATGGGGCTTGTGACCAACAAAGAGGGAAGACTTCACTCAGTGGAGCTCACCTTCAACAAACAGGGGGTTTGCCATGGATGGAGCCAACTTCTCTCACACTGTCCAGGGGCAATGCAACTATGACAGAAGTTAGGCTGCAGATGTTGGCTCAACAGGTGCATCACATCAGCCACTGGCACTGCTTCTCTCCAAGACATCTGGCTTTTTGCTGTCTACATGCATTGCCATGGCAAGCAGAAGTGGCTTGGGCAAAACCTGTGGAACTGCTTAGGCAAAGACCTCCTGCCTGCCTTGATCAGCTTGGCTGGTGGGTGGCTTGACAGATTGGCTTTGAGCATCATTGACCAAGACCTCAGGGCACTACCAATATTGAAAACAAAGCAGGGCAATGTCAGGAAATTGGCAGACCCTGTGAACAGATTTCTATTGCTCCAGAAGCTCCAGAAAGAAAAACAGCACAGGCAAAGAGTTGCCAGAAGCCATGAGGAGCTAGGAGGGAGTTCAAATCGCATGATCAGATATGAGAACTACATGGACACCTTGCTGCACATGAAAGCCCTTGAGAACAGCAAACTGGGGGCCAACAAGCAATTGAGTGTATGTTTTGACCCATCCACCTATG